AAAAAATGAAAAAAAATGAACTCAAGCGCCGCACGTGTTCATCAATGACACACACACGCTTGAGGGGGCATCTGTTCGCGGTAAAATATATATATATGTACATTGGATGATGAATCACAAATGGGCCTTTTAAAAAATGAGAGGAGAAAATAAAATTTTGTGTTGGCCCAAAAATAATAATAAAAAAAAGAATGGGGATTTAAAAAAAAAGCACATTTAAAAATGTGGAGTAGTGGTAAAAAAACGTGGTGCAGAACGTGGTGTAAAAACGTGGTGCAGAACGTGGTGCAAAACGTGGTGCAGAACGAACGTGCAGAATGTGAAATTCTCTTATATAAAGAAAGCGAGTGCAGAAGAGACAAAAAAACTTTTAGGGGGAGTGCTTTTCATCTAGAGACGTGTGTGCGTGTGTGTAGAAAAAAAAAATTTCTGTGTGCAGGTGTGTGTGCGCGTGAAAGAGAGAAAGAAAAAAAAAAGAAAGTGCAGGTGTGTGCAAGTGTGGGGAAACGTGAGACGTGAAAGAAAAAAAAAGGTGCAGGTGTGTGTGTGGAAACGTGAGAAGAAAAGAGAAAAAAAAAAGGTGCGGTGCATGTGACAGTGACGTGAGAGAAAATATACATCTTCAGAAGTGTATCGTGGTATTTCAAAACAATAAGGTAAATACATATTTTGATATTTTGGTCTTTTTCTACACTGACAGTTTTAATTTTCTGTGTTATTAAACAGATACAATGCATTTAAATCAAGTCCTATATACACTTTAAAGTGTGGGATTGTGATTTATTCCTTGAAGATTTCTTATTTGTAATACTCTTAATAAATTCCTAATGCACTCGTGGTGTGTAGTTTCTCATTCTTATCACAATCCTATGATTATCACTAAGATTTGGATTTCTTTTTAGAGATCTATATAAGTCAAATGTGATTTCAAAAAATCAAGGATTAAAAGTTTTTTAAATTATTTATTATGATTGTTTTGAGTGCAATTCGAGTGAAAAATTCATACGAATTACAATTTAAAGATTAGCATATAAAAAATTATATGCATATGATCTATATAAAAATATTCATATAAATCACACTATACCCGTAAAAAAAAAATAAAAAAAATAAAAAAGAGAAACAAACGTCACCTTCAATCCCTTTACAGTGCACCAAAACGCACATACGCACACATATATATGTGTGTGTGTGTGTGTGAGATAAAGCCGTGGGTGTGTAAGAGATAAAAGCCGTGGGTGTGTGTCTTGTTTTGTTGGGCTGATAGCTTTACACGTAAATCAAGATATGATGGGAATTGATGTTCAGGTACACGTATATATATATAAAAGTTACCAACTTTGCACCGGTGATGTTTTTTTTACAGCGTAATGTGTGTGTGTGTGTAAATATATATATATATATATCAAAAAGTTTTTTTACTGCGTAATGTGTATATATATATATATATATATATATATATAAAAGTTGCCAGCTGCAATGTTTTTTTGCAATGTAATGTATACATATATATGAAAAAAAAAAAGAAACGTGTAGAAATGAGGAGGGTGAGAGAAATTTGAGTTTCTTTCGAAATTAAATTGTTAGCAAAAAAGAAGGGATCAACATCGTACAATTAAATCAATCAGTTTGGATATGATAAAATTTAAAATTAAAAAAAAATGATAAGGGATAAAGGATAAATTTCAAAGAAATTCAGAATATTAAATACCAAAAAATTTAAAGTGCACAAATTGAGCCCCTTTATTGCCCCTTAATTTAAAAAGACGAGCTCATTGTCTCATAAAATCATATGGTGATTAAATACAAGTTTCAAATCCCAAATTCAAACAAAAAAAAATCTCTCAACGCCAAATTCAAAAAGGATCCTTTTAATTCCTCATAAGGTCATATACCGGGGAATTATCCAAATATAACTTTCAAATCCAAATTCTAAAGTAAAATTCCAAATTGAATTTTAAAATATCTTTGAGTTCCTCCTATGGTCATATATCGGGGAATTCTCCAAAATCTAAATTCAAATTCAAGAACTACGATTGACTTGATTCTCTATCGGATACGTAGGCAACCTAAAATTTAGGTACAGTTTCAAGATCATATTCAATCCTGAAATCCTTATAAAAGACAAAATCAAAACAAAACTAAATCAAATTTTAAAGTGCGTAAATTCCTCATAAGGTCATACACCGAGAAATTATCTAAAATTTTCAAACCCAAAATTCGAACTACAAGTGGCTTGATCCCCTAATGGGGTATGTAGGCAACTCGGCTAAATTTACCGAGTTCAGCCGCAGTTTTAAATCAACCCAAATTTCCCAAATTCACAAAAAAATAGTATTTACTGTTTTAATTGGAATCAAAAGGTTTTCTCTTGTACCAATGGATTGTAATTAAGAGGTTATTTTTATAATCTTGAATGGGTTGAACTAAAAATAATAAACTCTTATGCTAATTAAATCCTAATATAAATGAAATTATATTGTGTGTGAAATATTATTTTAAAATTAATAAATATTTTTACTCAACAATGGGTTTTGTTGATATTTGATTATGCTGAAAGGGGATGAATGTGGAACCACTGGATTAATGGTTTGTAAAATTAACCTCGTTGAAGCATGCAAGTCAGTTGTCATTGAGTGAAAATGATTTTCTTCTCCTTTTTTTTTTTCCTTTTAATTAATAGTGATAACTAATGAGTCTTCTTTTTCATGTTAAGACACTTTTCTAAAATTCTAAAAGTACTGTAGTTATCTCGGTGGCGAGAGTTGGTTGTCATATGTGAACTTACAGCAACGTTAGCAAAAAATAAAAAATACAAATAAAAAGATGTAAACTTACAGTAAAACATGTAACGTCCTCCGAAATTAAACTTATTTAATTATGATAATTGTGATTTATTAGTATGCTTGAATTGATTTTCTTAATTAATCATGAACTTTTAAATTTATTTTAGTATTTACAGTTTCACCCCTCTTTGTTTTATTTATTTTCCCTAATATTTTCTTTCTAATTTTTCTTTCTCCTTTTCTCTCTTCTTTTCTTTTTTTCCTTATTTCTTTTTCCTCTCTCTTCCTCACGTTACTCTACCTCTCTCTCTCTGTCTTGACACTCTCCCTATCAGTCCCTCAAGCTCACTCTCCCTCTCTCTCTCTCTCTCCCTGCCTCGTTCATCTCTCACTCTCTCTCTTAAAGTTTTCTTTCTCAAGGGCCGGATTTAAACCAAAAACGGAGGTTTCCAAGAGGTTTTCAACATCAAAGCTTGGATCGAGGTAAAACTCTTCGAAACTTACTTTAGATTTTCAGATTTAGCCTTATGAAACTCGTTTTAGTCGAGTTTGGTGATTTTTGGTTTAGATTTCGTTTTCGAATGGATTTTGAATGCATTTTGATGAAACCTTGATGAAAATTAGGGGTTTTTGATTCTTTGGACCTTATTTGTTGATTTGAAACTGGATCTGTGCATTTCCCTTGAGAATATGTCGAATCGAACCTAAAATTTCAAGATTTGGCTTTGTTTCACGCGGATCGGCCATGGTTGGCCCTGGAAATCTTCCCCTCTGGTCGACCGATCACCCCTCCACCGGCCGACCGGTGGAGTTACACTCCTATGTCATCGGTCGACTGGTTCCCACTGAACCTGACCCTAAACAGCCCAAAACCCTGTTTTAACCACGAAATTCGATGTGGGATTGACCTAACCTCATTTGAGAACTCAAAATGAGTGGATTAGCCACATGAATCCTTGTTTTCCATTCGGTTCTCCAGAATAAATCTCTATTGTCAAAGAATCATGATTTGAATTAAAAATTGTTTATGAACATTGATTTTGAACTATGACATACTAATATGATACAATTGCATCTAATTAAACAAGAATGTTTGGTGAGAAAGATCAAACTCTAAATTGTTGATTTTGATGGGAAAGTTAGTGGCACGATTGGAATTGGAGCCTCAAAGGCAAGCGGAGCTAGGGCTACGTGAAGATAGCCACAGGTTTGACATCCGAGAGGTAGGATATTCTTGTCTATATCCTTATTAGCCTCACTTTAAATGATTTTGGCCCATGAAAATATTTTAGAACAAAACATGTTGAAATGATTTCAAAGGAATAGCATGAGAATGCTATTAAGTTTTCCATGATTTTGGAAATAAGATTTTAAAGAGTATCATTTCTTAAAATGAAATATCTTAAGAAATGATACAAAGCATGGTGGTCTCAGAGATCGGGATGTGGGAATCGCATCCTTGGGGGCAAGTCCCGAAATCCGTATGGATCCACTTCTTGCTTAGTGGAATTATGACTCTGCACTTTTCACTAGACAGACATTTTACCGCTTCTTGTTTAGTGGTATGATGAGCTGCACACTTTCATTATACAGACATTTTCTACTATGTGAGTATTTCCTTTTCTAGAAATGGATGACCGGTTCCGGGTGTATATCTTTGGACCGTGAGTACCTTTATTTTAAATGCTTTATAAAATTATATCCTATTGGGCATTTCGCTCACTTTTCTTGTTTTTAAATATATTAAACCCCTTCAGGCGACGCGAGGAGTAGTGCGGAGTAGGTAGCTACTACCGGTGACGTGGACTTGACCTTGGGAAGCAAAGAGTTGTATTTTCTCTTATCTTTTATCTCAAGGCATATATAAAAGTTTATGAATTGTAAACTTAAATATTGCTAGACTGTAGTTGATTTCGCATTTACTTTTGTTTATATTCATGTATGCAAAACACTTGTGGAAATTCCTGACTTGATACTAAAGACGTGATTTTAAACTGATTTGGTTGAAAATTCCACCACCTTTCTTGAAATTAAATTTCTCTTAAGTACAGGGACTTGTTTGAAAATACCTGAATGTTTTGGATTTGAAAAATTAAAATATTTATAACATTATTTGCTAATCACTCTCTTAAACATGTTTAAATTTCTAAATAAGTCTTCACATCACTAACCCTAGTTTGAGGGCGTGACAAAGCAACTCTGTCTTATTCTGAAGACTCAATTTTCAACAGCTTATCATGAGCGTGTCAAAAAGACCCAAAAGTAACTACAAAACGTACACGGCATCTAGCAGAGCTCAAAATAGAGCAATTTTTCCATGCCAATTATTTGATGAAGTAGAATAGAACGGTCCAAATCAAAGCAAACGTACGAGATGAGAAACAGCTTCCAAAAAAAAAAAAAACATTTTGAAGGAAAAACAAGATCCAATTAGAACATTATAATAAATCACCTAGCGGCAAGCTTAATTAAAATTAGCTTGATGGCCTTGTGAAATATCCCTTATGAAAGCATCAAGATTAGTGTCGGATGACCCACCTTTGGCAATTGCTTGGTGACAGGCCTCTTGAAGTTCCTTTACTCTTTTTCTCATTGCTTTCCCTTCATTGTTCTCTTGGTCCATAAATCTCTTCACAAGCTCGGAGATTTCATCTCTTGACACAAAAGTACTCTCATCACTCCCCAACGCTTTTTTCTTCACCCTTAAGCCAATCTTCCAGTCCTCAACAACTCTCTTGCTGTTTGGAACTTGGTCCCAAAATAAGGGGAAAGTCAGCATAGGGACCCCACCAAAAATGGCTTCCAAAGTGGAATTCCATCCACAATGTGTCAAAAACCCGCCTATAGAAGGATGGCACAACACCCTCAATTGGTCACACCAAGACACCACAAATCCAAAATCTCCACCGCCGTCTTTGATCCTTGAGGCTTCCCCACGCGCCACCCACAAGTAACTCGCGCCACTATTCTTTACCCCAGCCACAATTTCATCCAATTGGGCACTCGAAACCGAAAGGAAACTCCCTAGAGAGATGTACAAGACGGACCTTTTGGGTTGAGAATCTAGCCACTTGAGATAGTCAGGACCATTATTAGTGTGACTAGAGGAACTTTCAAGTTGGAAATGAGGTATGCTAGGTCCAATGGGGTAGATAGGGAAAGCAAATTTCGCCTTCAAAGCGTCAAAGACTTGGGGTTCAAGCTCGTACACTGAAGTTGACAAAAAATATTGGGCTTCGGACACCCTAGAAACACATTCCAAGGCTATTGATAAGGTTTCCCGACCACTTCCGCAGAAAATCGTCGGCAAATCTGCCACGCGCATCGTAGAGACTCCAGGGATGTAATCTACAACTTCGTCTCCTCGCTCTTTGATCACGCACGAGTATTGATTATAGGTTCATGATCACGATACAAAGAAAATGAAATTTCAGTGTTGAAACCATAAAAAATACAAGATAATTATATATCATGAATGCATGAAACAATTTCATTCGAAAAATAAAGATCAAGTAAATATAGTTAGATCCTTATTCTTTGCTCACAGGTTTGATTCATAGGTTTGAACCGAAATTCAATTTTTTTAAGGAAACACTACAACAAAATAGTTTTATGATTCAAATTTGTAAAACAAACATCCTTTTAGTCTTTTTACTCGTTTCCCAAATTATTTCTATATGGAGGGGAAAAAAAATATTACTCGTCTCTTTTTCACGAGTAAGCAAAATTCTACCTTGATTTATTCTCCCACACATAAAATTAGGTGTTATAAACGAGGACCGTATGAGTCAGATTACGTGAACAGATTATAAGTACTGCTTCTTCGTGCAATCATAAGCAAACCATTTTGCTAATTATTGATGAGTAATGTGACCAAAATATATACTTGCATACCTTTCAAATGAAACAAGAGCAACGAGTTTACTGTTCAGAAAGTGTTATTATTATTATTATTATTATTTTCATAATTTGGGCTTTGAAGAAAACTGTCTATACTTTGTTTAATCAAGAAATTGCTCATATATATTTACAGCAATGGCAATGTGCTCACCTGAGAGGTCGGCTGGGAAATGGCCGTTTTGTTCGAGAAGCTCAAAATGGTAAAATACCGAAAACAGAAGAGCAGACATAGGCCAAAGCGAAGCCACCGGAACATTCCTCCGATTTCCGACACGTGTCATCCATACCAAGTAGCTGTCGGCTACGACGGCGCTCACCAGAGGCTCAAGCCGATCGAGCAGCTCCTCGAAGGGAGCTTCCAGCTTGGTGCTGACGGCTTTGACGAAGCCAGGAAAGTCGTTGGCGCGGCCGTGCTCGGAGGGTATGACGTTGGGGAGTGTGCCGAATCGGAGGTTGTCTGGCTTCGGCTCGGAGCCGATCAAGCCGAGCCACTCCTCGGTGACGACGAAGGTGATGAGGATGTCGGGCTTCCGTGAAATTAGCTGCTTGCAGATGTTCATCATGGGGTTGACGTGGCCTCTGCCTGGATAAGGCATCGCCACCACGTGGCACACTGTGGTCGGTGGTTGTGATTTCTGGTTTGTCATGTTCGGCGGAAAGCTCTCTCTCTCTCTTCACAAAACGAGGCGGCTCAAGTATAAGTGAACTGGCATTAGTATCGAAAGGGCGAACCATGTGGAACATTATATAGGGTGAGTTTGGTAGTGTCTTTTGAGCTCAAATTTTTTTTTTTTAACAATCGTATATTGATAGTAGTGTTTAGTAAAATAAAAAGTGATTTTTAAAATATTTTAAAAAAATCTACGGTAAAAATTATAAACAGTTCAAACACAATTTTAATTTTTAAATTATATGAGAATTAATACAGTACAATAAATAATTATCAATAAAATTATATTAAATAATTAATTATTAATTACTAATTGTATTATATATTAATTAAAAATTAATAAATAGATATACTTAATAACTAATAAATAAATAGTAATTACTTAATTATTAATTCATTACTATTAAGTTTTTAATTTTCTTAATAAAATAATAAATAATATAGAAATTATTTATTTAGTTAAAGATTAATTGTCAAAAATTAATTATATAACGTATTGACAATAAAACAAATAATAATAAGTTATTAAATAAATAATTAATAATTAATATATCAAACATATATTGTGTTAATAATAGTCTATTAATTAGTAAATAGTTAGTAAATAAAAAATAAATAGTAATTACTCAATTCATAATTAATATTAAATTATAATGATCAAAATATAATATATTAATTATTAATAATTAATAATTAATAATTAGTAATTAATCATTATTAAAAGAATAATTACCAATATTAATAAATTATGTATATACGAATTATTAATTTATTATATATATATATATAGTTTGATTATTAATGTACTCATTAATGATAATAATTTATTCATTATTGTTATATTATTAATATATTAATTTTTATTTGCTAAATAATTATCAATTATTAATTACTTTATATATTAATTTAATATTATTAAGTACGGTCATTTTAACTACCCACATTAATTCAACGATATAATTTACTAAACGTTATTACACTGCTTTTGAAACCAGCAACACTTGTATAATTACAGTTTATCAAATACTCAACTGTTTTTTATAACAACTATTTTTTCCTTCAGCACAGCTAAAAGTAATTTTTTTATAATCTATAGCACTACCAAACTCACCCTAATCATGAACTCCTAATGATTGCATTGCATGTAATTATTCGATACTTTTCAAGTGAACAATTAATTCACCAAACATTTTCTGAATTTTTTTTCTTTGTAAAAATACTGAAATAATACCTTTCAACTAACTCTCTTAAAAAAAAAGAGTGGAATTTTATACATAGCCAAAGTTAGCGCATTTGATAAATAAATTGATGGAACATTGTGAACATAGACAATTCATATTTATCAACTAAAGGTATGTGTGGAAGTTAATCACTCTATGAAAATAAAGTATAATGACCCTACCTTACGTCTAGCCCTATATGTCTCTGCCTCCATAAAAGAAATATTTGTTTCTTAATTTGCAATGACACGAAATAAAAACAAGATTATAAAACAATAACTTTTAAGTTTTAGCCTTTGTTAAAAAGAATAGGTAAATTTTTTGATTAATTTTACTGGTACCCTCTAAACTATGAGGTCATCTCACTTCACTTTTTAAATTTTGAATTAGTCTGAATTTGAATTTGTCCTATTTAAGCACTTTTCTAAGAATTTCTATTGAAATCAAACTAAAAAAGAGGGGATTAAGTGTAACTATGTAGTTTTTATATATTTATTTTTAACATAAATTTAAATAAAAAGACTATGTGACTGCATTATTCTCTTTTTTCTATTTTGTCTTAACATAAATTACAACAAAAGAATTAAGTGTGAACAATTCAAAGTTCAAGGAGTAAAGTATGAGTTTTAAACTTCAGAAAAATAATTGAGAATGACCCTAAAGTTCAACCGCCACCGATAATAATAATCCATAATTTTTTTTAAACATGGTTAACATGTTGAACATAGACAAGTCATTAACACTGGGCCAGGCTCGAGATTGGGGGATGAGCTCTGAGTGAAGGTCTGAGCCAGAGTGGCTATCACATTGGTTTTTTCATTTTTTTACGTTGTTATTTGTTTCTTCATTAATTATTTATCATGTCATCTTAATTTAGTAATTTAACCATGTGAATAGGAATAAAATATTTAAAATACTTAAACAATTTCTAAAGTGTCAGAATGTAATTGGATAAACAACTAATGAGATAAGAAAATATGACAACAGATTTTGATTCGAGTGGTTAGAGCCAAAACAATTACCCCAATCCTTACCCCATTTCAACCCTAACCCTACATACAGCTTGGGCCTTAATTACCCTAACCTCCAATATGTCTGACCCCGACCCCAAGCTGGCCCAATCTCAATCTTGATTCTGATTTTTGAAACAATAATTTATTTTAAATCTAAGGAAAAATTAAGAAAATAGCATGAAAATTTCCTGTATTTTAAGGAACAATTTGAGAACAATTTTTAGAAAATAAAAAATATCACTAAATTTCTATAAGAACTCACTTGTTTTAATTAAAAAGTAATAGAAATTGTTTAAGAAAACATTTAATATTTAATATTCTTTTGTCTATTTAATATTCTTTTGTCTTAGAAGAGATCAAAGGTACTAGTATTTAATATTCTTTTGTCTATTTAGTTAACAAAGGAATTGACTTTGGTATGTTATTTTTTGGTTTCGGGACTAAATTTGATAAGAGTTCTCATGTTTAATATTTTCATGTGTCTATGAATTAGGGTGATTAATTTTGGCCAATTTTTTAGTTTAAAGACTAAATTTAGAATAACTTTTAATACTTATCATATTTTTAGAGAACACATATAGTATTTTTAGAGAGAAGGAATTTAAGGACCTTTTAGGAATTTAAAGGGTTTTTTTATACTTTTGTCCCACATGTCGTGACCCTTCCAACTTTTGAATATAGCAAATTACTCATTGAATTTAATAAAACGTTGCAGAAAGTATTCAAACTGATGAATAATATCAAAATTTGGAAAGAAGTGTCTTTAGACTTTATATGTACATGCCAATCATCATCTAAATTTCTTTTTCTTTTTTCTTTTTCCTTTCAAATGAGTTAATGCAACAATTACGAGAGCATTTATGTCCAAATTTTAATAGTCATTATCGAATTTGAAATACTTATTTAAATTTAGGGAGTTTAATCAAATTAAAAGTTTTGTGATAACTAGTTTAAATGGGAAATGTGCGAAATGCATAAAAGAAAATGTAACGAAATTAAAGATAAAAACACCAATAGTTTTAGGCACCTTGAAATTCTACTTGATACGAGTATGGTTTATACAAAAACTTATTTGGTAATAGTGATAGTTTTAGGAGTGAATTAGCCGTGCTCGATGTTCCTGATGTTTCTGTCCCATGGGGTGTCGTTTTCTTCTGGAGTCTTGTCTAATACAATAAATAAAAATGGGGGCAGCGTTAACGAAGTGGGAGCGGCAATATATTTTTATTAACAAATATTTTGGTCTACTTTATGCACTAATTGCAAGAAGATGACCAATGTGACACTCCAAGGCCATGCTTTGTAAAGTAAAACTCATTGTTTTAATGGTGAAAGATATACGAGAAGTACTTGGCAACACCAATAAAAGGTTTTGGGACCATTTGTTCGTTTCGATTATGACAAATCTCATAAGGCTAGAGTACCGCAACTTGTCTTGAATGTGTTTTCGCTTTTGAAATGTGGAAAAGATACTAGCTGTAGCCTGTAGCTCATTAATATATTAATGTCAACAAAGTCCAAAGAAAAAAAATGAAAAAGTGAAAATGGTTGCATCATAAAGGACAATTTTATGTCAATAACATAAAACATTACAAAATCGCCTAAAAAGAAAAAAATAAATAGTTTTTGTAAAATTTCTTGGCTAGTATTGTTTGTGTCTAAAAGTCCTAATGGAAGATCAGCCAGGCGAGTTGTGGAAATTCCAGGGATGTAATCTACTACTTCATGTCCTCGCTCTTTGACGTTAATCCAGTGTCGACTACACAAATAAAAAAACAAATATGTCAAATGGAATTAATATAGACATATATATTGGACAGTTCTAATATAGTAATATTCTAGTAGCTAAACAAACCAAACTACAATTAAATTATAATTAAAACTTAGAATTACTATTTTATTTTCCATAAAAAAAAAATTACTATTTAATTTTTTCATTTATGCTCTTGGTGGATTGTATTTAAAATTTTCAAATTGAGGAGTGTTGGAATTTCTTTAGATGGTGTGGAGATTAGGGCTTTTAGGAAGTTTAGGTACCTTAAGTCTATAGTGCAGTACAAAGGAGATATAGAAGAGGATATTCAACATATGATTAAGGCATGGTGGGTTAAGTGGAAGAATGCTACATGAGTTTTATGTGATGACAAGATGCCTATTAAGTTGAAAGGAAAGTTCCGTAGGACTGCAATCTGTCAAACTATGTTATATGGTAGTGAATGTTAGGCCATTAAGAGACAACATATATCTAAGATGAATGTGGTAGAAATGCGTATATTAAGATGGATGAGTGACTATACGAGAATGAAGCGCATAAGAAATGAAGTTATTCGTAGTAAAGTAGGTGTAGCACCAATATAAGATAAAGTGTGCGAATGCCACTTGAGGTGGTACGTGCATGTCCAACGTAGACCACTAAAACTATCAGTTCGTGCTTGGGAGGACATTCTTATACCTAATACTAGGAGAGGGAGGGGTAAACTAAGAATTACATTGACCGAAGTAGTTAGGAAAAATATTCTAGATCTAGACTTTCAAGAAAAAGTCTAATTTCAAATAGAGCTGCATAGAAAAGTGAAATTCATATAGCTGATCCTAATTAAGTTGATATTAAGGCTTGATGTTGTTGTTGAGGTGCCAATCAATTCAACGTTGTGACATAAGCTCAAACGTTATCAAATTAAAAAATGTTTCATTAACCGAAGTCCAAAAAAAGCAAAACAAAACGTTTACTCATTCAAGCCAGACAAAATGAGCACGACGACGCAACTTTTGCCAGTCAAGAACGAAGCGTGGCAGAAGAAAGTTCAAAAGAAAAGAAGAATCGTGTTCTCCCAAATTCTAATTAGTGGTAAATATCGTAATGCAATTACATCTTCGTAACAGGATGCTAATTAGTGGTAATTGGACTCATTTTCATTTTGCACCAATTCCTTCGTTGTTGTTGTGCTTTTTTTCTTTTTCCATTTCTTTTTATACCCAAGGAAATCAAAACACCAAGATCTCATAATCTCTTCATCTTTTAATAAAGTAAAAACAAGATCAACGTACCTGAAAGTTGGACAGGCAAATGGCCGTTTTGTTTGAGCAGCTCAAAATGATAAATGACCGAGAAGACAGAAGCAGACATAGGCCAAAGCGAAGCCACCGGAATGTTCCTCCGGTTCCCGACATCCAAGGCCCAAAGGAGGTGGCTATCGGCTACGATGGCGCTCACCGGAACCTCGATGCGGTCGAGGAGCTCCTCAAAGGGACCTTCCATCTTCCTAAAGACAGCTTCCACGAACGCATCTAAGTCCTTTGATCGATCGTGCTCGGAGGGTACGACGTTGGGGATCGTGACAAAGCGGATGTTGTCGTGCATTGATGGCCGATTCCGCGGCCGAATCAAGCCGAGCCACTCTTCGGTTACGACGAAGGTGATGAGGATGTTGTGTGGCTTCCGGGAAACAATCTCCTCGCAGATGTTCATCATTGGGTTGATGTGTCCTCTGCCGGGGTACGGCATCGCCACCACGTGGCAGCAGTCGGTGGCTGGTCGCTCCATTTTCACCGGAATATCGTGACGGCGGGGTCTGGGAGATTATATGACTCTCAATAGACCATGTAGAGGAGAAGAGCATTACTATAAGTAAGCTAAACAGTATACAAAAGAGTAAATTCCACAGTTGCAATTTAAACTCTCTTCTTTTTTTTTTTTTATAATAATTTCAGCCCAAATAATTTATTTTGAAGGATGTTTTTCATAAATAGTTGATGCTTTTCATAATTGTAAAAAGGACGGTAATTAATAAAATCATAGCACTCTCAATCCCATGCGAAAAGTTAAAAGTTATATTAAAAATCGATTTATTTTTGATTGTGTTGATTTCAATCAAACACTTTTAAAGAACGTTTGATTTATGTATTTAAAATTATAATTTAAAATTATTTTTGCTTTACGTGTATTTTTTATAAGAGAAAATACTGTAGAGAACGATGAATCATGATTCAGAATCAAGGATGAATATAAAAAACAAACGTCCCCTTATTAACTTGCTCTACTGGTATTGCTTATTTGCCTACCCTACCATAAACTGTTGAGCAAAAATATTTAAAAATATTTTACTTACAATATAATTTCGCCTATATTAGGATTGAATAAGCATGGAGCTTATTATTTTAAGTTTGACATATTCAAAATTATAAAAATAACTTCTTAATTACAATCCCTTAGTATAAGAGAACACCTTTTGATTTCAATTAAAACGGTAAATCCTATTTTTTTGTGAATTTGGAAAATTTGGGTGTATTTAAAATTATGACTGAGCTCGGTGAATTTGGCCAAGTTGCCTACATAACCTCATTGAGGGATCAAGCCACTTGTAGTTTGAATTTGGAATTGAAATTTGTGTTTAGATAGAATTTTTTAGAAGATTTTTTCATAGTCCCTATAAATTTTTTTTTTGAATTTTTTGTTTTAAGTTGAAATTTTAATTTAGATAATTCTTTGGTATATGACCACTAGGACTAGCAATCCGGGTAACGACATGACGACACGACTCGAAACCCGCACGAAATTAACAGGTTTGGGTTTATCTTAAATAGGTACGGGTCAAAATCAGGTCGAACCCGTGAAACACGATTAAATAACGTGTCATTTTCAGGTTGACCCGTCAACCCGTAATTGACCCGTCATAACCTGTTTATTAAACGTGTCATATTTAGGTAACACGAATACACAACCCAATTACAATCTGTTTATTACTTTTTTTTTGCAAATTAATTTTTAAAAAAAAAATATTAATAAAGTAATAGAATAAAAGTATACTGTATACAAAACAAAAACTAAAAGCAGGAATACGGAATACACATTATTCATCATCTCTGCTAGCTAGGTTTTCCTCTTCCCAGTTCCCACTATTTTCCCTCTTCCCACCGCCGCCGCTCATTCTCTTCTCTCCACCGCCGCGCCTTGTCTTCTCTCCACCGCCGCTCCTTCTCTTCACGGTGGCCCTCTCTTTCTCTCAGAGTCACCCACCCTTGTTGCCATACCTCTATTTCTTCGCTTCTTCTTCTTCTTTGTCGGATCCACTCGCCCGCTCCTTCTCTTCTCTCCACCGCTGCTTCTTCTCATTTCTTCGTCAGATCGGCCATCGTGAAGGCGTTTTCTTCTCATTTCTTTGTCAGATCGATCTTTATTTCTTCTCATTTTTTTCACCCTCTCCACAGCCACTCGCCCGCGCCTTCTCTTCTCTCCACCGCGCTCTTTCTCTTCTCTCCACCGCCGCTCATTCTCTTCACGGCGACCTTCTCTTTCTCTCAAAAGTCACCCACACCTGCGGCCATACCTCTATTCGGCAGCTCCATTTCAAACTTTCAGGTATTTCGGCAGATCCATTTTTTGTTTTTTTGTTTTTTTTGTTTTGATGATTGATCTATCTTTGTGGTTTTTACTTCTTTTCATGTTGATGATTTAATCTGTGTTTATGGTTTGGATTTATGAATTTTTGTTTATGGTTTGATATGTGGTTTAATCTTTGTTTATAAGAAAATCACAGTGAATACAATGGTTGTAAAAGTGCTTGGTATGCTACTGTATTTATGTATATGAAGTTTGTGCAAGAGTTTTCATGTGTATCATACGCACAAGATCATCAGAAAGTGTATAGAAGTTTTTTTTTTCCCTTGTATGAAGTTTGTACTAATTATGAAACAAGGGGTATGTGTTTCTTCCCTTGTTGAAGGCAAATTTGTGGTTTTTCGTGAGCGAAGATTTTGGGCTATGGTAACTGTGTTAAGATATCATATATTGGTGCTTTACTAAGTTTTTGAATGATTATGGGCACAGATATCTGGTTCTTGCTGATTTGACTGTTGGGCAGTTTGTGTATGTGGTCCGTAAGAGGATAAAACTCGGTGCCGAGAAGGCCATCTTTATATTTGTGAAGAACATTTTGCCACCTACTGGTGAGAAAAGTAGCTTGTAAAAATACAACTTGCTCCTGTCATCGCAATTATGTGAAACGATTTCCTTAACACATTCTATTTCATTTGTAGCTGCTATGATGTCTGCAATCTACGAGGAACACAAGGACGAGGATGGTTTTCTCTACATGACATACAGCGGAGAGAACACATTTGGATCATTCTGAGTAAGTCAGGGTGAAAGTTTGTAAATAAGACTTGAAACAAGCGCTATGAAACTGCATATATTAATTGCTTTCGCTCCTGTTTACGCTTGTGCAACTCCGGGAATTCTTAAATTATTTAAATGTTTAATTATTAATCATGTATGTTTGTTTGCTAATTTGTGAGACTTTTATGTGTTTGTTTTTTAATTTGTGAGAGACTTTCATGTGTTTGTTTTAATTTTGAACTTAGATTATGTAATGTCTCTACATCATGTTAAACAGGTTGAGAAACATGTTCAGAAATAGGTTTTGAAATAGGTTTTGAAATAGGTTCAAAAATAGGTTAATACGACCTATTAATTACTTGTTTCATAAACGTGTTGACAAGTAATTAACGGGTTGACACGACATGTTTACAACCTGTTTCATAAACGTGTTGGCAGGTAATCAACAGGTTGACACAACACGTTTACAACATGTTTAATAAACGGGTTAATCGTGTCGTGTCAACCCGTTAATAAACAGGTCGTGTTTGGGTTTTGTATTTTGACACGATTAATAAACGGGTTGTGTTCGTGTCAGACCTATTCGTGTCAACTGAGGGGTTTAACACGACACGAACACGATCCGTTAACACGAATTGCCACCCTTAATGACCACTGTATGAGGAATTAAAAAGCCTTTTGAGATTTGAATTTAGATAATTCCTATGTAGAATTTGAAATTTATTTTAATTAAAAATTTGGATTTAGATAATTCATCAGTATATGACCGTATAAGGAATTAAAAGGACTTTGAAAATTTGATTTAAGATTTGGATAATTCTTATGTAGAATTTTGATTTGAATTTGAAAATTGTGATTGCACTTAGATTTTGTATTTAAGTTACCTACGCCAGAATAAAAATAAGTCTTCGTAGTTCTTGAATTTAAATTTTACTTCTGGAGAATTCCTTGTATATGACCATATGAGGAATTCAAGGACATTTTAAAATTTGATTTGGAATTTAAATTTAAAAGTTGTATTTGGATAATTCTTAGGTATATGACCATATGAAGAATTAAAAAGATTCTTTTTTAATTTGGTTTCAAGATTTTTTTTATTTGAATTTAGGATTTAAAAATTGTATTTGATCATTATGAGACAATTAGTTCATCTTTTTGAGTTAAGCGACCATAAATGGCTCAATTTATGTACTTTTGATTTTTGGATATTTAATATTCAGAATTTCTTTTGAATTTATTGCCTTTTTTTCTTTATTTTGAATTTTAAAATTTTTCATCAAATCCACCGTTTAAATTGAATTTGTTTTGATTTTTTTTTCTTTTTTCTGTTATCGAACTTCCAATTTCAAAAAGAATTGAAAGTCATTCTTTCATTTCACATGGTTGGCATATATATATATATATATATAT